AGTGGTCAGGCTAAGTCAGACTGATTTTGGTTTGTTAGGTCATTTTCTGCTTTCAAATAAAATACTTGAATTTTGGTGGTTGCAAAAAGTACATCACCCTTTTTTTGGTTTTGTGAATGTACCAGAGGATGACCACTTGTTTTAGTTGAAAGTTCAGATGGATTTATTCAAAAAGAATGTTTCACTTGGAATAAATGGATTAACAGAAAGATAATTATCATCTTAATTGGTTATTCAGTTATATTATGGTGTGCACTACCGATGTCAACAGATATAAGTAGTATATATAATCAATCGGAAGTGAAATAACTAGAGGCAGAAGGTTATGAAGATCAAAGAAAAAAGAACGAGAACAGAGAACGATTGCTGTCTAAATCAAGGAATAGTAAAGTCTGAGACGACTGATTAACATTTTGCAAATGAAATATTTAGTGTATGGTTCTCAGATTTTACTGAGATGATCTGTAATTTTCTATTCTTATACATTCGATTTTTGCCATTAGTGTTCTCATTCACTACACCATTAGTAAGATACTATCAAATTAAGTCTCTACAGGGGACAATTTGTTGCTAATGTATTTTTAAAAATCAGGGCTTCAACAATGAATATGCTGAAAATAACAATAATACAATCAAGGTAAAGTTCATGATAGTTAAAAAGATTACATTTATATCTATTGTTCTATTATAATATAAAATGTCAGTCAATTTATTCATGAACAATAATTTGATTGTAGTAGAAATTTCTGTAAACAACGTTGTAAATTGCTTTAAATTCATCGACTTAAATTAAATAAGTAACCAATTAATAATCAACTAAAAAAATCATTCGTTTTAAATGATGGTAATCAGGATTTATATTTAAACCAATATATTACACTGTAGTGAACGCGAACACAAGTGGGGACAATCGAATGTATTGGAATAGAAAAAAACAGTACATCTTAGTAAGATCTGAGTACCATACAATAAATACTTCAATTGTAAAGTGTCAATCGGTTGTCTCAAACTTGAATGTTCCTTTTGCAAATGTCAACCAATCATCTCAGACTTCAATGCTCTTTCATTTCTACACCAGTCGTTCTTTGTTCTCATCCTCTTTTCTTTCATATTTTTAACCTTCTACCTCCAGACATTTCACTTTCTATTGATGATACATACTACTTATATCTGTTGACACCAGTAGTACACACCACAATACATAAAACAAAAAATATATTTGTAAGTATTACTCAAAACAAACTGAAATCGGCGAGACTCTAATTTATGGACGACCTTTGAACGAATCTTAAGCGACCATGAGAAATATTAGCCAATCAGCGAACAGTAAGTATAGAGTAAAAACATAATATACAAAACCAAGGAAATAAATTGGATACACTTCTTATACATGGTTCAAAAACTTGCCAAAGTTAGAAAGAGGTTCAGAGGTTCTAAAGTCGTAATGCATGCGGTAGAGGAAATCATCCATACGGCTACGGAATAGTCGGCCTCTGGAATCACGATAAAGTCACAAATACTCTTTCAGCCTCGAACACATAGTTTCAATATTGTCTATGTGCACTCCGGTTGTTGAGTGCACAAAATGCTATTTGTGGATAACGACACGATGCACAAAACCAAGCCTATGTAGAAGTCTACGCTCTCCAAACATTCTTATATATTGTAGTACCTCGCTGTAGATAGTGTTTCGGGTGTTTTATTATCCGGTTCGCAATAATTGTCGTAAATTGCCTCAGTTAGGAATTAGATATAGGGTTTTCATCACGAACTGACATCAGCTATAATGCCAGAAATTTATTTAGCCAAAAGGATGAAAGGCTTTCACTTTGATATCCGAGATCTATTATCTTATACCTGATTGATTCGTCCAGAAATTATAGTCTCGCCATTTTATTTGTTATAGCCGCTCAATTATCACGTTTTGTACAAAATTCCCTGTAAACCGATTGTACGTTAGCATTAAGCACTGAAGTTGGCGCCGTAACCTTGAAATCTTTCAAACGCCTCTGATTGGCTCGTTCATAAACTAGAGTTTCACCTTGAAATCTATTATTAAATTGTTAAAATTCTAAATAATATCGGATAACTGTTTTATTCAAATTCATAATTCTTTACTATTGTACATTTAATAATTTGCAAAAATATTAAACATCAACATTTTTAGATTTTGCTTTGTGTCAATAATAAGAAATTCAAATCATTCATTTCAATTAGTCATTAGAAAGTTACTAGTTTATTTTTAGTTAATCTAATTCCATAACTAATAACTTTATTTATGTTAATCATTATTGAACCATTCAAGATTACAAATCTGTATAAACAATATGCATCATAAGACAATCTTTTTGTTGTTTTTTTTTTAAAAAGAAAATAAGAAGAAAAGCAGGTCAACAAAAATGTTTGTTGAAATAAAGTAAGAATGAATATTGAATACCCTAGAGATAAATATTTACTGGAAATCTTTTATAACGAACATAAATAAAATATGAAATCAATTGTACATTAAGATTGTTTCATATGTGTTTTGTTCTATTTGAAGTGAATATTCAGACAAGGTTATTTTAATGTACAATTTATTTATGAAAAAAAAATATATGAAGGTAAGTATATTGATATAAATGGTTTTGTGATGAGGATACAATTTTGAAATGGTTCTTGTTGAACTTAAACTTGTCATTGTTTTGGTTGCATCTTCCAACATCGACGTCTACAGGACAAGTTGTGAACCATATATGGAGAAATTCAAACACTTCAGTTCTACCTGGAGTTTGTGCTGATGATGTCGTTCAGAAGAACGATGAAAACTCCACGACCAAACCGTCCAGCTCAGAGAATAAAACTCCATCAAAAAGAGGATGAGATTGTTCTATAATAAAATGGAAATTCACTTAATATATTTATTTTGCAGATATAATTATTGCCTTCAAGTTAAATTTTATTATCAGCTGAAGAACCAGTAAAAACAAACAATCATAGGAGAACTTCGTTGTGTTAGGCAGTCGCCCAATTATGTCATCCATACTATGTACACGCGAGCACGATTTGAGTGAGAAAATAAGGAAGCTTTATTGGCTAACCGAAGAGAAATATGTATATTCATTGAAGAAATATGCTTTTTACACAGATGAATCTAATCTCGTCCACCTATCAAAATCTTTTACCTATTATTTTGTTTTGAGCTGACATGTCTGACTGACCCAACCTAACACTGTCTTTACTTGGAACTTCAAAACAACGTACACCGAACGGCCCAATGGTTCTTTCGATAAAGCCATTCCCGAATAAAAAAAACAACTCTAGATTGAGCATTTTCGGACAACCCTGAGTTTTGTGACTAAACTATTAATAAGAATCTTAACCTCAATTCAAGTTTTACTGTTAAATTCATATTTTCAATAAATATTTGTTTTTCACAGATTGAAATCATGAGTCAGTTGAAGGTAGACCACCATTGAAAACCTGGAAGCACTGGACGGCCGTTTCGTCCCAGTGTGGGACTCCTCAGCAGTGCGCATCCACGATATATTGTTTGTCTAAACTAATTATTGATATTTGTACGAAATTTTCTAAATTTAAAATTACGTTCAAATCTTCACAACTGAAATGTCATATATCAATAAATCAACTAAAATGCTTAGTCACCCACGCCTTCAAATCCGAAACTTCAACCTCAAGCAGCCATTATCAGAACATTTTTAGAACTAATGCATATATTAAGTCAAAATTAATGAAAGATCTAGTTATTTAAATCGATCACAACAATTTAATACAGAATATATGGAATATGGCTAACGCGTGTTTCGTTCGATTTAGGACTCGTTAAGTAGATTTACTTGCATTTTAAAGTTAAAATTCACCTATGGAATCGAACTCAGTATCATTCACTTCAAACGCCAACGCATTATCCACTTGGCTATTGAGTCAAAATAGTCAATCACTTTTGCAATGGATAAGAATGTCAATGGAATGTGGTATGTTTTAATAAATTATCCCATTGTTGATACAATAACCACACAAATGAAGCAGAGAAAAACCGATCAGCATTTGGAATACATATGTATATATAAATATTGAAATTAGGTTTATTTTTTGTACACGTTCAATAAAAGAAAATGAATAAAGAATGTGAAAGCGGAGTTAATGAAAATAAATAGCATTAATAGATCTTATTTATGTTGAAAACAGACAAAATCATCATAGTATTACAATTTGACGTATATACGCTTGTATAAAATATACAACATTTGCAAAAAGAAAAAAAATGAAAATAAAACAGAACAGAGAAAAAATAATAATAAAGCATCACAGATTAATATTCATTCATCAAATAAGTTTAATCAAAAAAACAAAACAAAACAAAAGAAAAATAAAATAAAGTTGCTAGGACGAGAGAGAGAAAAAAGTTCCCATAGAAAAAGCACACATTGAAACATCGAAAACTATGCAGTGATTTGTTTGGCATTTGAAAAAGGAGGAGATAGTAACTATTTTTAGACTATTAAATAGAGAGAGACAGAGAGAGACGGGAAAAATCTGATAATTCATATATAATTTTTGTTTTTAATCGAATAACAATTGCTGCTTGTTTTTCTAATAATAAAACAGAAAAAACGAGAGAGAGGGAAAAATTTGTATTATTCATTAATTTGTGATTGTACTCGATGTATCAAGATTCGATGTGTATGTTGTGTCTGTTTCATTAGTATTTGAAGATGAATTGCTATCACTGATCTGATAGTTATTTGAATTATTGGAACGTGATAAAACAACTTCAGAATAAGAAGGCGGAGAATTTGTGTTGGTGATAGTAGTAGTAGTAGTAGTAATATTAGGTGATGTTATATGGATTGATTCAAGTTGTGATTGTTCGATTTCTGTTGGATTTCCTGTATTTAAAGTAGTGGTTATTGACGTTGATGTATTAACACATTGTTTAGCTAGTAGATCATTAATAGATTGAATTTCTGAATAAGATGGTGGTGGTTGAATGATATGCTTTAAACTGGAATAAGCGGGTGGTGGAGGTGTAGTACGAAATCCATCAGAACGGAGAACATTAGGTCGTCCAAAATCTATAGAAAATAAACAATAATGTTGATAAAGGAAGAGGTTAAAGGTAGGAACATTAGACAATACTAACCCAAATGTATTTAATTAACTAGAAATAAAAAAGACGCTCAAATAATTCAGCGTAACGAACAGCCCATGCTGCTATATAACAATACTGTTATGAGAACAAACATAAACACAGGTTCTAACATTGAATTGTGATCAACCAGTGTATTATGGAGCAAGTTGTGTTGTCTAGTCCAATAATTCATTAATTTGCCTATATCGTCTGTAGGAGCTGTGACCGATTTATCAAATGACGCAGAGGCTAATGAACAACAATGAAGGCATTGAAGCCTATTGATCTTTCAGCTGCTAATCCAATGGTCCAGTCAGAAGACGAAAATAGGAAGTAGATTAGTTATCTTTTGTACTTTGTTCAACTAAGGCTTATATCTCATACAATAATATGCTTCATAAATACCTGAGCGCAAGGTAAGACAAATAGAAAATTACAATTTGTACACAACTCAGTCGTAAGTGATAGTAAATCGGAATAAAAGGAAAATAATTAATCACTGGTAAGTCTGGAACAATAAGACACACAACAACCGTTTATTGGTTGAATGAAAGATTAGAAATAGGCAAATATGATGAAAATGTAATAAACTAAGCACTTAATAATTATGCAGTAATTTCCACTACGGTATTTCTGAAAGTTCAACCCTTCACAAATCCTTTTTGATGTAATAAATACATCTTTGTGATAAATGTAACATATTCAAAACAAACAATCTGAATACATATCTACTATTTCGAATTATTTAAAAAAATATACATTCCAGTAACCGTAAATAACTTTGGTCTTACGTCTGACTGATTGACATTTAAACAATTCTTATAGTTTGATCAGAAACAGTAAGAGATAATGTTAAGTGTATAAACCAGTAGTAATGATACAGTTGCGGAAATAAGGTAAGATGGTCGGTCACTTAGTAACTGAATCATTTGATTTCCAATTTTCAAATCCTTTCAATCTACCTGGCTTTAAATAAACGAACAGTAACACCAGCCTGAAACGGACACATATTCGAAGTGTCGTTAAAAAAACTGAGAGTTACATCAATAGAACGGATCACCAGACGTTGTTTCATTATTCTGTGAATTAAAGTTTTGGGTGTCAATAGTAGATGAGATTATCAATCATGAAATCGGGTGATAGATGTCTTCTATAACAAAACACGGCTGTAACATGAAATCAATAGCTGTATAATAGTCTGTTCCCGACCGAACCTGCTACCTTGACGCGGTGGTCGGGCTTGCCTATCGTGATGACCCAACCGAGCTATATTGGCTCCAACATATGTTCCTGTAGGTTCTACCATACCAGCCCAGTTGATTGGAGAACGGTAAATCTAAAAGCAGCAACTCAAGGTTTGAGGGCGAAGTCGTACTGCTGACTGTAGAGGGCTGTGACAGCAGTAAGGTGTTTCCCTCAGACAACCAGCATCTACAGCGATGCTGCCTTCTCACAAGGAGGGGTGGGGTTAAAAATGGTCGACCCTAAAAATGTCACACCTCACCTTACCTCACGAATTTCCGTCTCCGGCGGTAAGGCCCTTTGAAGAACGGAGCTAACACGCCATAAACCTCCCACGAAAAGGCCGTGCGCGACCGACCTCAAGCAGTTGTCCTCTGGGCTCTGCGGTCACGCTCCCAGGTCGTTAAGGCCGACATTAATCCGAATTCCTTTTCAGGTTCCTCAAGAAATACCCTTCCACAGTGTGGACAGCCGGGAAGTGACACCAGCCTTCATAGCCGTAACAGCACACGAGACCAAGTTGGTCACATTCAAATCCTTCCTACACTTCCTAATACCTCTCTTTTCTCTCCAACTAACTCTTCTCATGTCCTTTTTTCACCTCGCACCGCTAGGGCAAACGATTCGAGTACGCGGAACGTTATTCCTGGTCTCCTGAAACCACGCTCTAAACTACATGTAGAAGCTTTTAACGTCCGAACACTGTGCCAAATAGGACAACAAGCTTCCTTAGATAGGACTTTAGAATCTCGCGCCATCGATGTGTGCTGCGTCTCCGAAACGCGCATACAGGATCCGAGTAGCGTCATTCATCTGACCTTACCATGCCAAAATAAAGAACCGACTCGATTTACGCTTCGTGTATCTGGAAGCCCTGGTTCTGCTTCCCGTGGACTCGCCGGCGTAGGTATAGCATTGAGCCCCAGAGCAGAATTAGCTCTCTTAGAGTGGATCCCAGTAGACAGCCGTTTGTGCGCTGTCCGACTGAACGGAACAGTAAGGATCCGGAAAGATAGGGACATTCGTCGTTGCCTCTTCGTCGTCTCTGCCTATTCTCCCACTGACTGCAGCTCAGATGATGTAAAAAAATGAGTTTTACAGAAAGCTTTCCGATCTTTTTCAAAAAGCTAGGCGCTCGGATGTAGTAATAGTGGCCGGTGACTTTAATATCCAAGTAGGTAAACTAAGCGAAAGGGAAAGACACCTGGGTGGCTCAAAGAACAGATAATGACGACCGTCTGTTGCAGCTATACTCAGATAGCCGCCTGTTTCTTAGATGGTGGTTGGAGGTAGTCAACAGGAAACCCTGGACCTGAGTTTCGTGCTATTTGGCACTCGTCAGCAAGGTGTACCTGTAATCTTGAGGGAACTGGTGCTCCTTGGCGAATTTGATCTCGTGTCGCCCAGCTTTACAGTCAGAGACGTTACCACTGAGCTATCCGAGCCGTTACTAACCTCCTGTAGGACTGAAATGTAATCACAATTGATTGATCACTGGGTGGTGATCAATGTCATGCTTGTCAAGTCCTAATTGGTGCAGATCGAATGCTATCGATCATGTTGCAATGTGGCCACCAGTATAGGGAGTACCAGTTTCCTCAAGATTACAGTTACACCTTGCTGACGAGTGCCAAGTAGCACGAAACCCGGGTCCAGGGTTTCCTGTTGACTACCTCCAGCCACCATCTAAATCTCAATACATAGTGCCCGCAGTTTCGAGTCACCTAGACTGGTAACCACATTGCAACATGATCGATAACATTCGATCTGCACTAATAAGGACTAGACAAGCATGACATAGATCACCACCCAGTGATCAATCACTTGCGCCTGTTTCTTGCTAACACTAACTTTAAGCATAAGGAAAAAACGTTGACATGGCAACCCCCGAATTCGTCACAACGTTGAACCTAAATAGATCACATCGCCATCAGCCACCGATGGAGAGGCTCGATAGAAGACTTTCGCTCATTCTGGAGCACATGCTTAGATTCAGATCATGCTCTAGTGCGAGCGCGTATTTGCCTGCATCTTACTGGACGTAGGAAAGACGCTGCAAGGAAACTTCGTTTGCAGTGATGCAGGTGCATCCACTCTTTGTGTTCTCCCAAATTCTAATCTGAATTCTTCATGTCCCTTATTTTCTTTCTAAATTTATTTCACTGGATTATACTCCTTGAATAACATCTTCAAGCCCTACTGTTTCCGATTACTGCTTATACTTTTACTACCTCTACCACTACGGGATTCGAATCGACCACTGCATCTCTGTGCTAATGTGGTGTGGCAACTCGAACTGATGTACGTACGTACGAAGTTCTATGTTGTTACTGACTGACTGACTGATAATAGTCTGTTCAGTACGAAAAGTGGGCGTTAATTAACGAACTATGGTGCAAAACAGATGGTGCATTGGGGGCTTAGTGACTGAAACACTCGAATCTCAACCGATGAGTTCTAACCATATTTCACATAAGCCGGATATTATTATTAGTCTTCATAGAAAACTAGAATGATCCAAAGTTGCAATCGCAAATACACATACGGCAAATGAGTGACACTATTCACTTATCAGAAAGTAATCAACTTAAAGAGCTGTTTCTTAACACTCACTAGATTACAAATGAAACGATGTTACTATTACAAACAATTTGATATTGTTACTTCGGCATGAAGAATTAAAAATGATAGTACTGAGTCACGGTGACAATGACTAACTAAGATGAAATCAAAAGTGTTTACTGAATAACGGTACCAATTCACTTGAAAGAAATACAAAGCTAAATCAATGTGATATGACATAAATTGTTACAAAATAATACTTTATTAAACAATGGCTTATACGTTAGTCTTTGTTTGAATACCGACTTTCGAATATGAATAATCATTTCAAGGCATTTTTTTGAAAAATTACAAACTATGATATTAAATTGTATACTTAATATTGAAGTACTTCTATTATGGATTGATACCACTTTTGCATACTATTTTAGGCATTTTGTTACTGTTCAATATTGAAATTTATAGTTCAACAGAATAATTTGCGATAATTGAGACTGTAAACCGATCAATGGTAAATCACCATTGAAAACCTAGGAGTATTGCATGGCCATTTCATCCTGGTATGGGACTCCTTAGCAGTGCACATCTATGATTCCGCACGCAGGACTCGAACCCAGAACCTTCAATTTCGAGTGAGAACGCCAAATCTCCAGACCACTGTGCCAACGTCCAACAGTGCTAATGTTTAACTTCAACCAATCCACTAGGTTAAGCGTTCGTGTACAAGACCAACGGTCTTAGGTTTGAACCCCAAATATGGGATCGTGGATCTCACTGTTGATGAGTTCCATACCGGGACGAGACGGCCGTCTATTACTTTTAGGTTTTCAGTGGTGGTCTAACATTGATCACTTCATGATCCCATTCACAACTCAATGCTGATAATTTGTAATAATAGTAAACGAAAAAATGGCTTAATAGTGAAAATATCATTGTTATAATAAATATTATATCAAATGTTTTCAGTACGAATATTGAACAAAAAATGAAGTATGAATAGTTCTTTCTACACGTCTCTTGTAACTTATCATGTAAATATGAAATATGATTGGTTGTTATTAGCAATTATCTTATCCCTTATCTGAGTCTATATCGTGCTTTTTCATCCCACATAATTTCAATATTTTAACCTTGTATTTACTTATTACTTTTTTCGTACAAACCAACAAACTTGGTCTAATTTAATGTCGATTGATTGATGAATAAATTGAGTCTAATGCTTGTGGAATAGAAAGGGAAATTATCAGAGAAGACATCGTTCTTGTATTGATTGAAATAGGAAGGGTGTATTTAGAATAGAATTAAAATTAAATTGAAAGCAACACATTTTTATTGCCTCATATTAATTTAATCATCATAGTTACTGAATGTAAAACAATTTGTAGATGTAAAAACTATCTTTAAATGGAGAAGAATTTGAAACTATGTACATTGGTATTTGCTAGATTATAAGACATACTTAAAGCAAATTTTTGTTGTTGTGAAAGTATTTAATTAGTTAAACTGCAAAAATAAAACAGATTAGTTTAAATAGTCTTCAGGTATCTTGTTTTCGTTTATTTTGTTACTCAGTTGAGAAACCTTGATTCTAAAATTTGATAATGACACATTCTTGTAAGTAAGTAAGCATTTGGGAAACAGGATTAATGTAATGTATTTCGATATATCAATCATAGTATATGTTAAATTTTAAATATAGTGAATGAGAAGTATGGTAAAAATGATTTGTAACTCTATTAGGATAGAATAATCTAAAGTTAAAGAGTTGAGAAAAGATGTATGCCAAAAAACTGTTTGTCTCGACGTACAATGTTACCTGGTTTGGGATTAAGTTGGAAAAATAGATAGAGACGACTAAACCAAGATATGACACCAAGTTCATGAAGTCATTAACTTTTAGGTTGAGCAAATTATTGGGTTAGTGTCTACAAGATTGCCATAATTAATGGTTTGAGATATTGAGTGATAGTTTACAATGGGTTGAAATGACCCAGATCTAATCAATCTGTCTTCTTTTAGATCTCGAGTTTTAAAATTATCTTATACTTTTTGTTGTACAATTTCACTTTTTTTCCCGAGTCATATTGTTTATGTTTAATCTTTTACGTCACTACTAATATTGATAGTAGTTATGTTACTCTGGTACTTGTCTTAATAATTTCATCTAGCCAGGATGATGTGATGTGGTAACTTGAACCGAAGCATATAAGTGTCACATTTGTAAGCTATTTAACTGATTGACTAGTTGAATCAAGAACACTAAATCGTTCTACATAAGTCAAACTATAATTTAATAGTCACACACTAATATCATAGATTGATATAACGAGTATGAAGGTTGTTCTATTACATCTTTTTTCGCTACTGATAATTATTCTACAGTGAACACGACTGACATTGAATTCCTAAACTTTTCCTATTCCACAGAAATATTTAACTTTGAATCCAAAAAAGAAAAAAAACAGAATACAAGAAATATGAAATCACTTTACTTTGAAGGTTAATTTATGCAATTTCAATAGTTGAGATCATGAGTCAATTAAAGCTAGACCGTTTCGTCTTATTAAGGGACTCATCAGCAGTGCACATCCACGGCCTCGCCTCGCGGGATTCGAACCCAGGACCTACTGGACTCGCGCGCGAGCACTTAACCACTAAGCCGGCATCCAACGGTGTTAATATCTAACTTCAATTAATCCACGAAATTCAGCGATACATCCACCAATGTCATCAGCGAGTTACTATCTCACAACTGACCCGGTTGAACTCCGCTGATCACTGCTTCTCACTAGCTTCAATTGCCTCATGATCTCAACTATTGAAATTACTAAAATCTCCACAAAACTCATTCTCATGTTAATTTATGTAATTACAGAACTGTAGGTAATCTTAAACATTCTAGAAGCATCTGAAAACGATGGTTACTACTTTATCATCACTTAAAGGTCGTTCATAAATTATGGTCTTACTCACCGAAAACTTATCTTTTTTTAAGGAATTAAAGAATGCAATGCATTAAACTACTTTCTTTTATCAAGCTATTATTGTGTTGTCGGTCAAAGTCAATGTTGAATGATCCATAGAATATTTTTCATTTTATCGATTCATTATACTCATGATAATGATAACAATCTTTGTACTTACAAATATATGAAGTATTAATAATAATAATAATAATAATAATAATAATAATAATAATAATAAATGATTATGCTAAATACATTTTGTTCAGTCATATGGTATGATTCTGATTATTCAGTTAGAAAACTTGTTAGTTCTAGTTTTGTGATGTATATGATATACAATCAGTATACTTCACAATTAAGCAGTGATTGACACAGCATGAATGAAATTGAACTTAAGTTGTTGGTTGATTCAAACATTATACCATAATGAATTTAATTTATGGAACATTACATATTATTTGTTCAGCTATTGACCTAGTTGAAAAATTTAAGATGTTCTCAATTTTACTGTTAAATCAAGAACTTGAATTTTTACTATACCGTGTACAATTTGAGTACTCGAACGCTTGAATCCTTTAAGTCGCAAGTTAGAAAATAGAAGAGAGGGAGGAAGAAATAATATTCCAACCAGTTAAATATGATACAAAACACTCGGATATTTATAGGTTTTAATAAAAACGAAATCACCATTACAATCATTCAGTGTGCATGAGGTGGTTTTAGCATTTGTCCAATCGGGAAGCTATACGCCGAGATTCGGGAATGTTCTTTCAAATGATGACTGAATGAAATGTTTTCGACTCTTTCAGAGCTTATTAGTGCTTCCTTGAGTTCACCAAGAGCCATCCCCACATTTAGCATGTACAGTTTACTAATTTACTTATGTAAACTTATGTTCTGGGTTTGATTTCAGGCGAGATGTAGGTGTAGTCTCCTCAAACGTTTAAACTGGTTCTTTAGTGGTTAAGTTTTAGTATAAGTCATTCGAAGTTAAAAATGTATGTAATACAACATTTAGGTTTATTATTTATCCAGTAAAAAGCTTGTAAGTTGATGGTAATGTGTAAGAAAGTTATGTGCCGGGAGCACAAGGTCAGTATTAGTTATGGAATCATAACATAAAACGAAACATTTGTCTAATGGTTTTTCGGTTATGAGTTCTAGTGAGAGTGATAGAGTCCAACCGTGTTGAACACTAATTAGTTAACCATCAATGACCAATGGGGTTAGAAAATGGTAGATATGTCGAATCGATTGAATTTAGAAATGTGAACCATTGTGTGAAGATCAACTGATCTAAAGGCTAACAAGGACGGAGCAAATCTACAGTATTTCCTACTTTTAAATGGTTATTTCTTGAAGATCAATTCATGATGTAAATTATAAAAGAGTAAATCTAACCTAGTTCTTAGTCAATACAGTAAGATTGATACAATTAAGAAAAAATAATTATAATTTTAACAAAAAACAAAGTATTACATAAGACAATGAAAATAATCAAGTGAATATAACATACATGAAGAAAGATTACACCAATTTGAATTTGACATATTATTCGTACTTTCTATACCATGTATACTATTTGAACGATATGGTCTTGTTTCCCATATATTAAATGGTGAAGAAAATCCACCAGTTCGAATACGTCCAGAACGTGATGAACGTGTATGATGATAATGATGTCTATTTGTTGTTGTATAAGTAAGATCAGATAATGAACAATATGGACGTGTATTCAAATTATTACGACGTAAATATGCTCGACGACCAACTAAACTTAACCATGTTAATAGACAAAAACATGCTAAAAGCATAGCTGGTATTTTAAACCATGAATAAGCAGTTTTACACGGTCGACATAAACATGGATCAAGAAAATATTCACTAAAATACCAAAAACCAAAAGAAAAGAAACGAAAAGAAATCGATTAATAATAATATAAGTAGTAAACATTGTGTAAACATGATCATGATATTACCAGGATACTTAAAAATAATTAAAAAAACTCCGTTCTTTTTACTACATTCATTGTCTGAACGTTAAATGTGAGGATGGCTCCTGATGAACTCAAAGAGGTACTAAGAAGCTCTGAAAGAGTCAAAAACATTTTATTTAGTCATCGTTTGAAAGAACATTCCCGAATATTCAGAAATAATAAAAAAATGCATTCTTTTTACTAGTTTCATTGTCTGAATGTAATAGTTTATTTGTGAAGTTTTCATTAGTCTTTTAAATGACAACAACAAATGTTGAGATTTTGGGTAGAAGAAGTAAAAAGATCAGAATTTTTGAAAGCTTACGACTCAGATCAGTTGGCAATTAACAAAAAAACCCATCAAAACCGATTATATTTATTAACTAATTCGAAAAATCATGGATAAATATAATATAAAGAACCAAATCATAAAAATATATTTGAAGGTATTTCATTGAAATCATAAACCAGTCAGTCAGTAACAACATAGAACTTCGTACGTATGTACATCAGTTCGAGTTGCCACACCACATTAGCACAGAGATGCAGTGGTCGATACAAATCCCGTAGTGGTAGAGGTGGTAAGAGTATAAGCAGTAATCGGAAACACTAGGGCTTGAAGATGTTATTCAAGGAGTATAATACAGTGAAATAAATTTAGAAAGAAAATAAGGGACATGAAGAATTCAGAAGATTAGAATTTGTAAGAACACAAAGAGTGGATGCACCTGCACCATTGCAAACGATTTCGAGACATGTCATTCAGGGTCTCTAACCATCGGTTGCTATCATCTCGCGGTCCCCAACCAGGTAGTCTACACCTACCAACATGGCTCAGTTCACTTGTCAGTGACTTCATAGACTTGTGCCATGTTTTGGTCTGGCCGCCCCTAACTTTCTTCCAACCTCCTACACAATGAAATATCACACGTCGGGGCAGTCGGTGTTTGGGCATACGTAACACGTGTCCCAGCCATCTCAACTGATGAAGTTTCACTACTTCATCAATCGATTTGCCATCCTTACCTAGTACCCGTTTCCTAACAACTGCACTACTTACTCGATGGTCCCAGGATATACGAGCAATTTTGGTGAAGTTTTGTTCTCTGAGCTGGATGGTTTGGTCGAGCAAAACAAAATCATCCACCTGAGCTACAAATCTTCTCCACCATTTCATATACAAGCAATATTTCGAAGACACTTATGATCAAATACTAGTAACCTACGGATATCGTCTACTCTTACCGACCATGTTTCACTGCCATAAAGTAGGACGGAATGAACTGCTGCGCAGTAAACCCGTCCTTTGTTTGGTAGACAGATATCTCGCCTACTCCATAAATGACTCAAGTTGGCAAAAGCTAGTCGAGCCTTCTGTATCCGTGCTGAGATTTCGTCACACACCAGACCACACGGGCTGATGAGACTTCCAAGATAAGTGAAGCGATCGACCCGCTCAACTACTTCACTCCCTACCATTAGTTCGGGTATAGATGCGACCCAATCCTGAAGCAACATTTTGCATTTCGAGCGGAAGAATCGCATCCCGAACAAGCTTGTATTGATGCTTAGAGTGGTCAGAAGACTGCATTTTGTCAGCATCTTCACCAAATAGTACTATATCATCTACACTTTCTAAGTCAACAAGTGAATCTTCTGGTAGAAGTTCAACCCCTGAAATTTAGATGAGCAAAATTGTTATCTCTAAAAGCACGTCAATGAAAAAGTTGAACAAGAATGAAGAGAGTGGACAGCCCTGACGAACACCACTTGAGGTAATCAACTCTGATGACAGTTCGCCATAAGCTCTCACTCGACCAGCTGTGTTCGAGTAGAGGACCTTTACAAGGCTAATGTAATTCTTTGGTACTCTTTTCAGTGACAAACATTGCCATAGAACCTCACGATCAACAGAGTCGAATGTTGCCTTAAGGTCGAAAAATGCTACGATTGTGGGGCGTCTGAATGTGTGTCTGTGCTCTAGAACCTGACGTAGTGTGAATATCTGATCTATTACAATTGATTGATCACTGAGTGGTGATCAATGTCTTGCTTGTCTAGTCCTTATTAGTGCAGATCGAATGCTATCGATCATGTTGCAATGTGCACCATCCAAATCTCAATACATAGTGCCCGCAGTGTCGAGTCACCTAGACTGGTGGCCACATTGCAACATGATCGATAGCATTCGATCTGCACTAATAAGGACTAGACAAGCATGACATTGATCACCACCCAGTAATCAATCAATTGTGATTACATCTCAGTCCTACAGGAGGTTAGTCACAGCTCGGATAGCTCAGTGGTAACGTCTCTGACTGTGAAGCTGGGTGACACGAGATCGAATCCGCCAGGGGGCACCAGTTCCCAAGATTACAGGTACACCTTGCTGACGAGTGCCAAATAGCACGAAACCCGGGTCCAGGGTTTCCTGTTGACTACCTACAACCACCATCTAAATCTGATCTATACAACCACGTCCAGGTCGAAAACCGGCCTGGTTTTCTCTAATCTGCTCTTCACGAACTTTGATTAGGCGTCGAAGTATTATTGAGGCTAATATTTTAGACACCATATTAGTCAAACTGATTCCTCTGTGATTGTCACAAGAGGACTTTTGTCCTTTCTTATAGACTGGCACAATCAGTGATTGAGACCAGTCAGATGGGACTGCGTCCAGTTCCCAAATTCTACCTAAGACCTCAGCTAATCTCACTGCTAATACTGAACCACCGTGTTAAGGTAGCAGCTAAGGTCAGAAAATCATAAACCGATCAATCTTAGAGCACCATTAAAAATCTGGAATCACTGGACAGCCGTTCCGAACTGATATGGGAGTCCTTAGCAGTGTGCATCCACGACCCATTTCGATAGAGACTCGGACCTTCGATCTCGTGCATGAACTTCTAACCCTGAGTTAATTCTGAAATACTGGAAACTATAGCATTGTAGACTGAATGAAGGGGCCTTATCAAGCAGACAGAAGGCGGAAGTTGACTTAAATATATGCCTTAGTTTCTAATTTACATTTGGCAACAAAACGATTCGACTAATCACACTATATAAAATCATTATAGTCTAGGAAGATTAAGAGTTTGTGATCTGTCTGTGTACGATGTATATTTTCTCTTTAAATAACAGCATTATATTCTTAAGATCGTTGACATTTATTAGAGCATCGGAATTTTAATCAACACATTACAAGTTTGAACCCGATTGTATCTATTTCGATTTGAGCAGTAGAATATAAGCAACTCAGAATCTACCATACAAGTGCATCAGATCAAATTTTCACACCGTTTAGCACTGCGAGATGAAATTATCGGGACCACAGTGGTAAAATCAGTGACAATATAAGTAGTAGTAGAAGCGGTTAGTCATAAACAATATAATTTGAAAAGAGTGGATTCACAGAATGAAAGTTAGGAACAACTCCAAAGTTAGGGGGAGACAGACAATAAATGGATCTGCACTATTGTAACCGATTTTGAGCCATGCCAACGTTCCCAACCATTGATTAAGATAATTGCATAAACTTTAACCAGGCAGTCAGAGCCTTCATATATGATAAAGTTCAACAATAAACAACTTTATAGACTGATGCTACATTCTGACTTGGTTGTCCCTAGTTTTCTTCCAACTTACTCCTACAGTAGCCCACACTGTAGGATGAGGTGTTAGGCGGTGGTTGGATGGTATTTATGTAACAGTTTTAATAATATTCATGATCACTTTATTCACTTGAGTTTGAGTAGTCAATTAACAGTCATAAGCGTAGCTGAAATTCTAGTACATAAACCTGTATTTGATAAATGGGTTCAATTTTTACAGATCACAGATCACGTAAACTCTGTGATCTATCATTATCAATATCACGTTTAAAGCAGTTTGTTTCAGTTATCTGTAGCCAAAAACCAAACTTCACTATTACACAAATAACTAGAAATCGAAAAACCAAGTAGCAAGCTGCAAACAATGTACCGAACACTACAAGATTGACATTATCTTGATTGTTCTAGTTAAAAAAAGTCAACAAATTTTTTAAACATTCTCGACGCAACTAAGAAAAATTTTATGCTACAATAAATACTATATATATCGACAGCCGATATTTAGATCAATTCATCCTGAATATTCTGTGCTTGATAATTTATTTTAAAGCGAAAATAGAAACTAAATAAACAAATAGATATTAGATACTACTATGTATGTTATTCGAAAATTCCATCTAGTAAATATTTTACAATGCATGAGTATGAAAAGTAAGATTTTGATAGAGGAATCTAATTGTTTTTCTATTCATACACATCATAAATACATGTGAAGCCTTCACAAATTCAGCGCTATTACGGGTAAATTAAAAGGTATAATATTAATATACAGGTATTTAATGTAAAGTTTGGCATATAATGTGCATTGATCCAAGTTACCATATCGTATCAACACAATGAGATATCAGAGTACGATAAGAAGAAATGATATTCGTGATAATAGAAAAAATTAGGCATAGATGATAGGATTGGAAGAAAAAATATGAATTTGTTGGATAAAAAAATCGAAGATTACCATGAAATTTATAAGTTAGGGAAAGATAAAGAATGAATGTACATACATCATTGTGAATGATCCTAAGCTATGTTACCCGTAATTTCTAATCGCGTAAACCTCGGCCAAGGAATCTCTACCTATTTATACAACTTAGTACAATAGTTAACCCCACGGTCTGATCTTACGTTTTGATTTGGATGTTACAACTCATAAGTTACTAGTAGACTGGGCAATGAAGATGTAAATGGAATGGACACTGCGACAGGTAACAGGAATCAGGGTTCTAGAAACGAATGAAGGATAGCTAGATAAAGAGAAAGACACACCAACGCACTAGTCCGAATAAACATGTACTAACTCAAACCGTCACCATTTTACTAATAGCATATAAATAATATAATGAATTATAGAAAGACAGTAAGATAACAATTAACAACGTAAAAATAGAAAAAACGATAAAATATTCGATGTATTGTTAGTATAAAGTTGTTGAGATTGTAAAAATTTCATTGAAACTACGAAACAATCTAAGTTCGATAATCATTAAAAATTTGGAAGCACCGGACGGCCGTTACGTCCTAATATGGACCGCAGAGTTCTACAGAGTCGGATGTGAAAAGAGTACCCACAGAAGACAATGACAGATAGCTGTGTAATATCGTCGATTGATTGGAATTAAAGATTAACAACATTTCATGCTGACCCAGTTGTCCAGAGGTTAAGTGATCGTGCTCGAAACCGAAGGTCATGAGTTCGATTCGCAGGCGCGATGTTATAAATGCGCACTGCCGAGGAGTCCCATGCTAAGAGGAAACGGCTGTCCAGTGCTTCCAGGTTCTCAATGATAGTTCAACTTAGATGTGCTCGTAATTTAAATGATATTCAAGATATATTGGGTTTAAAGTGAATGAGGTGGGTTGTCTATATAAGATAAAGTGTTTTGCATATAATGTGACATGCTTTATTTTTATATTTTAATGCAATAACATTCCCACATTAATTTACTGTATTTATCACAGGTTAAATGCACTCACACACAGTCGTGGTGACTACAATAAGTTTGATTACATCTGGGATTTCTGTTGTGTTAAATACATACAATATTGTTAATTATTACATTGTATAACTACCCTCTGTGATCGACTTTAAACTATGTTATCATTAGTGATTTCAAATTAACCGATCTCTGCAGTTTAAAAATCCCCATAGAATATGAAAATATGAACAGTATTTGAGCGAACAATTGTTTTCAATAACTTCATCATCAGCCTCTATAGTTATAAGTCCATAATGATTGTGATATTTTTACAAAGGCCACAAATAAGGCATGGCATTAATGAATTGGACAATGTTATATGTTATAAATGGTAAACGTTTGCATCTGTTACGATATCTATATTAGATAGGTCATTCAATAAAGGTCAGAATGATTTGGAGTAAAGTGTTCAGTCACAATCAGTAGAATAGTAACATAGCAAAAATGAAAATGCAAAAAAATCGTGTGAATAAAATGCATAGTAGGAGAATTTCATCTCGTCAGTTGCGATAACAATGATAATGATGATAATAATAATAATATTGTTGTGTGAATATAATATGTAATAAGGGGGGGTGTTATCAAGGTAATTACGATAAACGAATTGGGAATGATGGATGTGAAGAATAAAATAGATATAATAAAAAAAAGAGACGGACAGTTAGATTACGGCATCTCTACATAGCTGAAGGCATCTGGATCATCCTCTAGAAAACCAAACTTATGTATCCAGAAAAGGGTATATTCAGCCTCTACGAATGGATTACCGGTTACCTAAACTGACTATTAGAAACATCTTACCCCCTCTTTTTTATTGATCTTTACATCCATCATTCTTAATTCACATGAATTTTTTTATTATTATCGTAATTACCTTGATAACATACCTCTTATTACATATTATTATTCACACAAAGATATTATAACTATCATCATTATTATCTCAATTGACAAGATGAAATTCTCCTACTATGCATTTTATTCACACAATTTTTTTTTGCATTTTCATTTGTGCTATATTACTGCTATACTGATTGTGACTGGACACTTTACTCCAAATCATCCTGACCTTCATTAAATGACCTATCTAATATAGATATCGTAACAGATGCAAATGTTCACCATTTATAACATTGTCAAATTCATTAATGCCATGTCTTATTTTGGCCTTTGTAAAAATATCACAATCATTATGGGCTGATAATCGATTTCTATCATTTCGAGGATCTGAAGCAAAACATTTGCATCTCTATAAATTTAAAACTATTTAACGAAATAAGGTTTATTGAAAGATAAAGCAATTACTGAAAAGAGGATTCTGAAAAACGAATACTTGGGGAAAAAATTCATTACATATGATATAGAATACATTATCCAGAGAATTCTTCATCTCCAACTGTTAGCAAAAAAGAAAGAAGTTTCTACCGCTCAATTTCAGCTTCAGATACTTTTGCATACAAACAAAATGGGAGCGTAGTAAACAGTTATCAGCTATAGTAAAAACTAACTACCATGAAAGAGCTTTTTCTTCTTTACCGATCCACTTATCATTCATTTAATTTTCTATGGACTGTACCATCTAATTAAGTAATCACTAGTTTCCAAGATAAGTAATATGATTTACGACTTCAAAACACTCATATCTTACCTGTAGTAATATTGTCAAAGTAGACTACGATTGATGAGAAGGTTTGTTATGGGAATAACAATTCATTTTCTTAAATGGATATTATTTCTTTTTAAATTCAATTTGGAATGACTTGGATTATCCCGTTGTTGATAATTTTTTATACTAAAATTCAATCAGCTTTGGTTGGCATATAAGCATCTTGTGCGGATTGACCAGATATATCTCCATTAAGATACAAGTTGATATAGAATAGACGGAATGTGACTAACATTGGGAATCTAGGACGTATGTTTCACCTAATTTAAGACTCGTAAATTGGATTTATTTGCATCCTAAGGTTGATTTTCTTCCCGGAATTCGAACCCAGTATCGTTCACTTCAAATACTAACGCATTATCTACTTAGCACATCCTAGTTTTCAATACCAACTATATTTCATTTATTCTATATCAAATTATAGCTTTTTATTGTACTTCAAAAATTATCAAAAGAATCAAATAAATGAAGCACATTTAATTGAATAAAATTACATATAAACATATAAATGAAATGTAATACCGTAGAATAAATGCTGTTTGACGAATATTTGTAATGATTTCTTTATTAGAATCAAAACGACCAATTAAACGACGTGTACATTCTGAGTTTAAAGCTCGTGCTATTAATGAACCATATGAAATATGAAGCTAAATGAAATAGAAAACAAAACGAAATATTTATAAGAAAATAGAATATAATCATCATTTGATTATAGAAAAATTACTGACATGTGATATATTCTGATAGATAAATTGTTAATTGAGTCAATTTGAATAGAATATGTATATTTGTTGTATTCGAGGATTGTAATTTATTTTTTTATCTTCTTAAGCTGGATATTCTTCTTCTTACGCCTATTACTCCTAATGGAGCATAGGCCGCCGACCAGCATTCTCCAACCCACTCTGTTCTGGGCCTTCCATTCTAGTTCCATCCAATTCTTGTGGGATATACCTAGATATTAATGTTTTTATATTGAAAGTAACATAAATCCATTCAACTATTAGTACATTATTCCTTAGAATAATGGATCATAACAATCATTATATTACTTATTGAAAATAAATAGATAATAGAATAAGCACACTCATTATCAAATCTGGTTGATCATAGTTTTATTATTTCCTAAATTTCAATTACGTTTTCTAATTGCTCTATCGACATTTCCTAGATATATATACAATGACAGAGCTTAGGCTAAAGAAAAAAATAATTACAGATTATCAATTTCCATGTGAATTGAGTGTTATTCTATAATCCAAGAAGATCATACAAAAATATAGTATGAATGATAGCTTTTGGTTAGCAGCCAGAACTGTATAAGGAAGTATACACTGTTTTATGAAACTTTACAAGATGTTCACAAAAAGAACTTAGCAGTATAATTCAAGATAACATGTTTATTATCAAAATTAATGACTTGAATGCAAACAATAAACAGTGTATCTTGTAAATAAAGGGTATTGCCTTTAAATTATAATGTTAATGAAGATATCTTAAACATGATATATATCGCAATTGTCCACAGATTAAACAAGTTTATTCTAAATGAATTAGTAACAAATCATAAGTTATAATGATATATATCTAAGTATAATTAATAAAAAAAGTTCCATAACTCATTACAGTTTTGATGTGAATAGAGAAATAAAGAAGTTATGACAAACAATGGAAACTACTTTTGAGGACATTGATCCAGTTAATTCAAAGTTTGCGAAATATTAACATTTATTTTTACCTTTAGGCTATTCTGTAAACCATAAACTTATGTTTAATGCATAATTGACTGACATATCTTGTTCTCTTCCAAAATTATTGTGATTTAAACGTAACCTTTTGTGATCTATTTGTCTACTGTAATGCCTAGTTTCGACATAACTGTATTTTTCCAATTTTCAGTTTGAGGTTGTGGAGATTGTTGAATTTCATTGAAATCACAAACTGATCAATGTTAGACCACCATTGAAAATATGAAAGCACTGTACGGCCGTTTTATCCTGTTATGGGATTTCCCAGCAATGTGCACCTACGACCCCACAATCGGGAATTGGAACCAAGACCTTCGGTCTCGAGCACAAACACCTAATCTCTGGATGGCTGAGCCGGCATCCAATGGTGTTAATGTCTCACTTCAACCCCCGACCGTTGTTGCTACCTTGACGTGGTGGTCGGGCTTGCCTATCGTGATGAAGCAACCGAGCTATACTGGCTGGAACAACCGTTCCTCAAGGTCCTACCATGTCAGACAGGTCGGTTGAAGAGCGGTAAGACTAAAAGCAACAAACCTAAGGTCCGAAGGCGAAGTCGTACTGCTGACTGTACAGAGGTGTGACAGCAGTAAGGTGTTTCCTTCAGACAACCAGCATGACAGCGATGCTGCCTTCCCACAAGGAGGGGTGGGGTTAGAAAAGGTCGACCCTAAAAATGCACACCTCACCTTACCTCACGGATTTCCGTCTCCGGCCGTAAGGCCCTTTGAAGAACGGAGCTAACATGTCAAAAACCTTCCACGGAAAGGCCGTGCGCGACCGGCCTCAAGCAGTTGTCCCTTGGGCACTGCGGTCACGCTCTCAGGTCGCCGAGACCGCCTCTAATCCAATTTCCTTTTCAGGTACCTCCAGAAGAACCCTTCCACGGTGTGGGCAACCGGGAAGTGATAACCGCCCTCATACCTCTATTAGCACTCAAGACCACTGTATTCATAATCAACCTTCCTCTTCAATTCCTATTATTCCTCCTACATCGACTTTCAACCCTAAACTTCCTCCTTCGGCTTCTTCCTCAAGTGTCACCATAGCCAACGATTCTAGTGCTCAAAACTCTGTCCCAGGTCTACTGAAACCTCGCTCCAAACTACACATTGGAGCTTTCAACGTACGCACTTTATGTCAAATCGGTCAGCAGGCTTCCTTGGCTAAAACCCTAGAGTCTCTTTCCATCGATGTATGCTGTGTCTCCGAAACACGCATACAGGATTCCAGTGTGGTCATTCACTTGACCTCACCTCGGCAAAACGGAGAGCCAACGAGATACACCCTACGTGTATCTGGTGACCCGATGGCCAGTTCTCGTGGACTGGCAGGTGTAGGCATAGCACTAAGCATGAGGGCGGAACAAGCACTGCTAGAGTGGATCCCCATCAACAGTCGTCTATGTGCTGTTCGGCTAAACGGCTCAGTAAGAACTCGGAAGGATAGGGACACACGTCGTTGCCTTTTTGTCGTTTCTGCCTACGCTCCCACTGACTGCAGCTCCGATGAAGTGAAGGATGAATTTTACAGGAAGCTTTCTGAACTTCTTCAGAAAGCTAAACGCTCAGACATAGTACTCGTAGGGGGTGACTTTAATGCGCAGATAGGTAGCTTAAACCAAACAGAAAGGCATTTAGGTGGGTATTTTAGCATTCCGGCACAGCGAACAGATAATGGTGATCGTCTGCTGCAACTGTGCTCAGACAATCGCTTATTTTTAGCAAACACAAATTTTAAGCACAAGGAGAGACATCGTCTAACATGGCGACCACCTACACCAAACCAACGATGGACTCGAATAGACCATATTGCCATCAGTCATCGTTGGAGAGGGTCGGTAGAAGATTGTCGCTCATTCTGGAGTACCTGCTTGGACTCCGATCATGCCCTAATACGGGCACGCATCTGCTTGCGCCTCACCGGACGCAAAAAAGCCACATTAAAAAGACCAATTAGAACTGAATTGAGCAACGAGAAAACCAAAAATAGGTTCCAAGAACAACTGAGTTCACACTTAAGTAGTTCTGAACACGAGGCTGACCCAGATGTTGCTTGGAAAGACATACAAACAGCTGTGGAAGCAGCAGTGACTTCTATTAGCAACTTAAACCACAGAGTTTCAAAGAACCAGTGGATTTCTTCAAAGTCTATCACACTGATGGATTCTCGCAAATTTGTCCCATCAGGTTCCGAACATGATGAAGAGCGACAACAAATCAGATCTAGGTTAAGAAAAAGTTTAAGAAACGACCATGAGCAGTGGTGGGCAACGAAAGCAAAAGAGATGGAAAAGGCGGCGACTATAGGGAACACAAGACAACTTTACAGACTAATAAAAGAAACTGGAATTAATAAGTCAAGTGTAAGTGAGATTATATCGGAAAAAGACGATACTCTCATCTATTCCCAGTCCAGACGTTTAGAACGATGGGCGGAACACTTTAGGGAACAGTTCAGCTGGCCTTCAGCGACTCTACAACTACCCTCCATTCCCAGACAGCGTGAATGGAACATTGAAGTAGGTCCCCCAACTCTTGCTGAAGTTCGAAAGGCTATAGATAATCTGAAACGAGGAAGGGCAGTTGGACCAGATGGACTGGTTCCAGAAGTCTTTAAAGATGGTGGTCCAATTTTAGCGATTAGGTTGACTAATATTTTAGCTAAGATCTGGGAGTTGCACGTTATCCCATCTGACTGGTCACAATCACTTATCGTCCCAATATATAAGAAAGGGTCAAAATCATCCTGTGACAACCACAGAGGGATTAGTTTAACTAATATAATATCTAAAATACTAGCCTCGATAATTATCAGACGCCTAACTAAGACTCGTGAACTGCAAACACGAGAAAACCAAGCTGGTTTCAGACCTGGTCGTGGCTGCATCGACCACATATTCACCATTCGTCAGGTTCTAGAACACAGGCACACTTATCGGCGTCCGACGATGGTGGTCTTTCTTGACTTAAAAGCAGCATTTGACTCGGTAGACCGCGAGGTTCTGTGGCAGTGTCTGTCATTGAAAGGCGTACCTCAGAAGTACATAAACCTTGTGAACGCTCTTTACTCGAACACTACTAGTCGAGTGAGAGCTTATGGCGAACTGTCATCTACTTTTGCAACCTCAAGTGGTGTCCGTCAAGGATGTCCACTTTCCCCATTTTTGTTTAACTTCATCATAGACCTACTGATGGAAATAACCTTCTCGTCGACTGAGTTCTCGGGTATTGATCTCTTTCCAGCAGATCCACTTATCGACTTAGAATACGCAGATGACATAGTCCTGTTTGGTGAAGACGCTGACAAAATGCAAAGTCTTCTGGTAGCACTGAGCAACAATGCCAGAATGTTTGGAATGCGCTTCTCTCCCTCGAAATGCAAGTTGTTGCTTCAGGACTGGTCTGCGTTAACACCTGAACTAAGGATAGGGAGTGAAGTAGTCGAACGCGTTGACAACTTCACTTATCTTGGAAGTCTGATCAGCCCTAATGGGTTGGTATCGGACGAAATCTCAGCACGGATTCGAAAAGCTCGTTTGGCTTTTGCCAACTTACGTCACCTGTGGCGAAGGCGAGATATCCGTCTATCAATAAAAGGACGAGTATACTGCGCCGCAGTCCGTTCTGTTTTACTTTACGGTAGCGAAACATGGCCATTAAGAGTAGAAGACACTCGCAAGCTGCTAGTATTTGACCACAGATGCCTTAGAAATATTGCTGGCGTCTGCTGGGATAATCGGGTAAGTAATAGTGAGGTTAGACGCAGGGTATTAGGAAAGGATGGTAAATCAGTTGATGAGGTTATGAATCTTCATCGACTGAGATGGTTGGGCCACGTGTTACGTATGCCTGAACACCGATTACCACGACGTGCAATGCTATCCGGTGTTGGGGATG